AATTGGGGAAAAATTGCCACGTGTCAGCCCCACAAAGCTCATATGTTGCCTTATATGTATGGGAGAGATGGAGAGATATACAAAAACTGGTTGACATATCTAAAGTGGAAATATTTGTATTAGTTTGATATCTTCTTCTCTATCTATATTTTACTTGAACAGGGAATAAAGATTGACATATTAAGAAAAGTAATTATTTGGTTTATGAGAGACGTTATGGGAGGGGAATCAACAGATTGGATCAGTGAAGTCTACAACGAAATAAATGCTCGAGAAGGCCAAAGAGATGCAAATCCAATCATGCGTGTTCTTCTCCAGTTACTGTACGCGGTAAAATTTTTGTACGCGGTAAAATTTTTTGTAACTTAGTTGTTTATTTTATGTAAATTTGTATCCATATGAAATAATAATTGTGTCATTCCCTATAATAATAATTTAATAGGCTCTGGGAATGTTGATCCAGAACAAATATCTGAAGATTTATCGACGGGTTTCCACCAGAAGTTCGTGGAAAGATCCAAATGTCCTCGGTCATTTATCATTGCCATATTAGATGTATATTTATAATATTTTTTCTTCGTTAATTTTATTCAAAAATTGTTTAGCTCATATTAATGAGTTTGTTTTTACAGAAAAAGAAAAAAAAACATTAAAGTAGAATATATTAATAGACACAAGATACATGTATATGAGCTTTGTTCAAGACAATTTACATACAACTCAATTAAACATAATATTGATTTTATTTTTGCTTCAAAGTGTTTAGCTGATTTTATTCTAAAATTGTTTAGGCATTGATATGTGTTTGTTTTTATTGAAAAAAAAAAAGTCAAACTTGAAATTATTTAGATGAGTGTTCAATAGACACAAGATACATGTATGTGAGTTAAGTTTTTATTACTCTTGTTATTCCGTCTTTCAAAAAGATATGTTCAATACTATTTACATACAAGTCAATAAAACATAATTATTGTTGTTGTAATTTAAAAACTAAAAGGTACTGTAAATTTATTATTTTATCAAATAACTCTATTCAATTGGTTATTTTATTAAGTAAATATTTACTATGGTTTTTGGACATCTAGAATAGAAATATGTCTATGCAATAAAATAGATATGAATATTGCATTTCTCTTATCATTTGCTTGTTTATTCGAATGTGCAATATGATAGGTACTTGATCAGTACAGAATCTTTTGAAAAAGATATGCAATCCGCTTCTTAAAAGCAACCGAATAGAAGAAATGGAATGTGAACTTCTAATTGTGCAAACCCTAAATGAAGTCCTAGATATATCCTCAGGAGACCTAGGCCAACTTTTCTGAAAGTTAGAGGCAGTGTTAGCAATTTCGTCTCTTCAATTATTGAGGTAAGAAATCAACTTTTTTCGATGTACATTAATAGTTTTCAATATTGATGAAAGAAGATATACTTAATATGGTTTGTTTCTATTTTAAATCAGGCCCTTTTTAAACCAACCCAACGGCAGAAAAGGCTAACTGACTTGATGAAATTAAATATTGTCAAGTTATTTTTTTTATTTGTTAGAAGTTCGGTATTTGTGTATTAGTGTCCAATGCTTGCATTTTCTCTAAAATGGCGGTGGAAGTTTGACGTAGAATTAGTGTCCAATACCGAACATTATTTCTACTTAAAACCTCCATCGTCATTTTAGAGAAAATGCAAGCATTGGACACTAATACACAAATATCAAACTTCTAACAAATACAAAAAATAACTTGACAATATTTAATATTATCACCTCAGTTAGCCTTTTCTGTTGTTGGGTTAGTTTAAAAAGGGCCTAATTTATAATAGAAACAAACCATCATAAGTATATCTTCTTTAATCAATATTGAAACCTATTGTTATACATCGAAAAAAGTTAATTTCTTACCTCAAGAATTGAAGAGATTGCTTAACACTGTCCCTAACTTTTAGAAGTTCGCCTAGTTCTCCTGGGGATATAATAATATCTGGGGCTTAATTTAGGGTTCGCACAATTAGAAGTTCACATTTCATTTCTTCTATTCAGTTGCTTTTAGGAAACGGATTGCATATCTTTTTCAAAAGCTTCTCTACTGGCTTCAATTTACTATCATATTGCACATTCAAATAAAAAAGTAAATGACTTCTACTTTTTAGTTAAGAGAAATGCAAGATTTATATCTATTTTATTGCACAGATGGATTTTTCTATTATAGGCGTCCAAAACCCATAGTAAATATTTACTTAGTAAAACAACGAATTCAATAAAGTTATTTAATAAAATAATAATATATTTAAAGTACCTTTTAGTTATTCAATTGCAACAACAATAAATATGTTTTATTGAGTTGTATATAAATAGCATTGAACATATCTTGTTGGAAAGACAGAATGATAAGAATAATAAAAACTTAAGCTCATATACATGTATCTTGTGTCTATTGAACACTCATCTAAATAATATTTCTACTTTGATTTTTTTTTTTCAATAAAAACAAACTTATACCTAAACAATTTTAAAATAAAATCAGCTAAACACTCCATGAAGCAAAAATAAAATCAGTAATCATGTTTTATTGAGTTGTATGTAAATCGTCTTGAACAAATCTCATATACATGTATCTTGTGTCTATTAAATACTCATCTAAATATGTTCTAATTTAATTTTTTTTCTGTAAAAACAAACTTATAAATATAAGCTAAATAATTTTTGAATAAAATCAACGAAGAAAAAATAATATAAATATACCTCTAATAAGGCAATGATAAATGACCGACATGCCATTTGGATCTTTCCACGAGCTCATCATCTTCTGTACAATACAAATATTTGTTCTCGATCAACGTTCTCAATCTTCTGAGCCTATTAATTTATTATAAGGAATGATACAATTATTATTTCCCATGGATACAAATTTACATAAAATAAACAGTTAGGTGACAAACAATGTTACCGCGTGGAGTAAGTGGAGAAGAACACGCATGATTGGATCCGCATCTCTTTGGCCTTCTCGAGCATTTATTTCGTTGTAGACTTCACCGATCTAATCTGTTGATTCCCCTCCCATAACGTCTCTCACGAACCGAATAATTGCTCTTCTTAATATGTCAATCTTTCTGCCCTGTAGATGTAGATAGAGAACAAGATATAAAATTAATACAAATATTCTCACATTAGAAAACAATTTTCCTCAATAATTAATTTAATTAATTACTGTAATGAATAACATCATTACACATTTTCCTCATAATTTACTAAAAAGGACAAAAAAACTTAACGTGCTCACGCACTTTTAATTTTACCCTTCTAAATCTTTTTTTTTTCGGGCGTCGATCTAATATAAAATCATAATCCGAGCAAACCAACTAACTCACCATGAGAATACCATGCAGTCGATTCAGTATAATGACTTAAAATCATAATCGCAGCATGAACACAAATCATATAGTCTACTTCCTATACCGCCCTACGCTCGTGTATACACCCCTAAACGTCGGGACACAGCCCATTTACGGGGAGATAAACCGTCGGGACAAGCCCATTCACGGGAGAAACCTCACAAATAGGAAAACGTCGAAACTCCATCAACCGTGAGAACATCTCACAGACTAATGGTTCACATGCAGAACCATGCATATATTTGATTATCAAGCCAAACAAATATAAAGAATAACATACACGATAAGGTTTTTCAACGCCCAAGTATCAGAGGATCAAGAGGATGATAATGGTGAATGCACGTTCGACGAGGGCTCGAATCCTCTTAATCTACAAATTAGGGTTTATATTTATATTTGGTTGATTTACAAACAGATAGAACACACCAAGCAAACAACAATTAAGGCAGATAAAGGCAATTAAGACAGATAAGCACAAACAAAGCAAACAACTCCTTTTAAACTTACATAAATATAAGCATGCTTCTAACTTTTCTTTCAAACTGAAACTCATGTTCAACAAGCTCTGTAATAGTCACATAAAGGCAGTCTAAAATGCAGCATATTTATTCGACATACAAGGCACTCCCAAAATTCTAAGTATAAAATTGAATATAACCTGCCCAACATCAACATGATACAAAATCTCAAATACATGGCAAAAACATAACATAAAAAGCTCTCATTTTCATTTTTTTTTAAAGCTCATGCCATTAGAACTGAGTTTAAAGCACAATATTCAGCATGAATTCAACACTTTTCATAGATCGCATGCTAACAGCCCCAATATCACAAGACAAATTTAATTCGTGACTCAAGCTCTTCTTTTGGCTCCAAAACTAAAGCATGTACTCACAAACTGACACTTAAGCTCACATAATCTCTAAAGAAGCTCGCAACGGTGGTTCGCTGCTGGGCGGATCTGCTCACGGATATTCGCGCCCACGGTGGATCTCAGCCGTAGGTGAACGGACTGAGGCCTGGCGGGGCCGTTGAGAGACGCCGGCGGTTGCTGATGGATGGCAGCGGCTAAGGGTTCGCCGGCGAGGAGGGATTTCGGGAGAAAATCGAGGGAGGGGAGGCGTCGATCTGATTTTGGCCTAGGGCTGGAAACGCGTAAAATGAGAAGAGGAAAGAAAGGACTTGTACGGTGTTTTGGGGATTTAATGGGCCGAAACTCTTTAAGCTTATTGGGCCGAAAATGCAGAATAAAGTGGGCCGGTTTTATAAGGTTTAACTCTTGGATTTGAGCCGATAAATTGCAAAACTTAAGCCGAAATCTACAATTAAACTGGGCCAGGTAATTAGCAATAATGGGCCAAGCATCAAACTCCAGACTTGCTCGGAAAACGGCTCGTAAAATACGACGCGCTGAATCCCGAACGATTTCAATTGATGAACACGATAAAATTGAAAATAATTTAAGTAAACGAAAGCGTCTACCTATCTATTAGGTTAGAAAGACAAGGACGTCTAAATAATCATAAGTTTTAAACGACCGACTCGACGAGCAATAAAGATAAAATACAGGCAATGCACATAAGTAAAGAAAAAACAAGCAATGCACATAACACCAAAATAAAAGCAAGCACAAAAAGATAATTAAACAGTGATAATAAAATGAATACATGCTATCAATCGAATAAAAGAAGGCAAATAAATAAGTAAAAGTGAGCCAATAAAAATACTAAAAATTCACGAGAAGCGAACGAGGCACTACATCAGCCAAGAAACTCTGCAAGCACAAATATATAAAAGAAGGCAAAACAAAATGGAATGACAATACTATGTACATATATATATGAGAACGACTTACCATTGTTAGCTATTCTGGAAAAGGCAAGCACACATGTAGTTTTAAAAGAAAACAAGATTTGGCTCCATGGAGAAAGAGACAAGATTTCACATTGGACTTAAATTGAAAGCATTAATCATAAGGGAGGGAAACAACAAGACATATCAGATGTTATATTGGACTTGAGAAAATAAAAGCATCACAGAGAAAAAAAACGATACTCAGTCGCTTTACCCGCATAAACAATTATGCATGAGTGAAGCTTGAGAACAGTAACTTTCTTTATTAAGCTCTTTAAAAATTAAAATACACGAAATGGAAGGACGAGTTATAAAATTGAGAATTTTAACACCTCATGGACAACGATATCTGTATAGGCAAAAGGAATACAAACTAACAACAAATCCAACACCAATTACCTTTCAAATATTGCGCATATGTTTTCAAACCAATATATAAAGGCATCTCTCTTAACACGTGTTGAATACTTGCGGATAAGACAACAAAATGCGGCATGCCTGTTTTATGGATAAAATTCAGTTCTAACCTGGGATTCTGCATCAGAATGTGACCATTCAATACATGTGTTTTTCTTGGGTTTATTTTCTGGTCTTTCATCATTTCTGGTTTCGTTGTACCAGTATTTTAGACATTAGTATTGCATTACCACACTCATATTATATGTACAAGTCAAGTACTGAAATACCTACAGCTATTAGGCATCATAAGAAACAGCTACAATATAGAACATACATGTTAGGACACATGCATCTAATTGAACATACCATGACCATTTCCCCTCCACAAGCCTTTCTTTTATCTGGACCGCAGTATGCTCCTATATGGCTCTTTTTATCATCACTCAGTGTTTTTGATGTACTAGTACACACCTGAATATATATGTTTGATATACAATTTATTGAAAAATGTATTTATATCAATGTGCTAGATACTTTCATTATTCCCCATCTTATAATTAAAATGGTATGAAAGTTAAAGAATATTTTACAAAAATCATATTATACTTCCTCCTAATTTGCACAGACATATTATACAAAGTCTTCTCATAATCAGTGCTCTAATTAGTCATTGGTGCATCAAACAGATCATCAATTTCACACTTGATTGTCACAATCTCACTAAATGCTTTATGTGAAGTTGGTGTGTTAGTGCAACTAACATTAAGAGTGACATCATAGAATACTTTCAAAAACTTAATAAAAGGGTAAAATATACATGACCCCCCTGTATTATACGAAATCTTCACGTTTTTCCCTGGTATTTTAAAAATTGCGTAATACCCCTTGTTATTAACTATCTGTTGCACGATTCCCCCTCTCCGTCCAACTTGACGTAGAGTGCAGTACACATTGCTGCAATGCGATAATTATTCTTTTTTTCATATATTTTTTATTTTAAAATTGAAATTTAATATTTTGCCCCTTGCTTTACTAGCCATTATTGACAAAAATTAATGCTTTGACGCTCTTAGGATTCGAACCTAGGCCAAAAGCTCCATAGCAAGGCTTCCAACCATTGTGCCATCATCATTCTATAGTACATACCTAGCACAAACTTATTTAGAACAACAAAACAGAGAAAAACTTAATCAAAACAAAAAATAAAATAATCAAAAAATAAAGTAATTGTAAAGAAAAATAATTAAGATAAAACAAAATAAAAATTAAATTGAATAAAACTATGTGTTAAATTTGAAAACAATAAATAAATATATTATAAATAAATAAATTACTAATTAATAAAAATATAAAATGATAATTTTATTTAAATAAATTAAAAAATATAAATGTAAAATAAATTTTAGTAAAAAATTTAAATATACTTTTTAATGAATTGAATTAATATAGTATATATAAATAAAATAAAATAAAATAAAATTTATTTATAATAAAATAAAATGATACTTCTATATATAATATATTATTAAAGTAGTAATTTTAAAATAATATATTTTTTATTTACTAACTATATATGATTTTATT